CGCTATGCGCGGGCGGGGAAAAACTGAATTCAGACAAGGATTAAGAGTCGAGAATAGTACAAAGAATCGTCTCCTTTCCCTTATAATTTAATGAAACGTCACAGCTGCCGTGCTTCGCGCGGGAAGGGGGAAAACTCAATTCAGAGAAGGATTAAGAGTCGAAAATGGAACAAACAACGAATCACCTTTCTCTAATAATTGCATTAAATCGCGCGGGAGGCGGGGGGGGGGGGGCTGAATTCAGTCAAGTAATAAGAGTCGAGAATGGTATAACAAATCTTCTTTCTCTAATAATTAATGAAACGTCAAAGGGGAAAACTGAATTCAAACAAGGATTAAGAGTCGAGAATGGTACAACGATTCGTCTTCTTCCTCTAATAATTTAATGAACCGTCATAGCTTACGCGCTACGCGCGGGCGGGGGGGAAACTGAATTCAGACAAGGATTAAGAGTCGAGAATAGTACAAAGAAGCGTCTCCTTTCCCTTATAACTTAATGAAACGTCACAGCTCCCGCGGGAGGGGGGGGGGGGAAACTCAATTCAGAGAAGGATTAAGAGTCGAAAATGGAACAAACAACGAATCATCTTTCTCTAATAATTTCATTAAACTATGAAAGGCCAACGTTTCCGTGCTTCGCGCGGGAGGGGGAAAACTGAATTCAAACAAGGATTAAGAGTCGAGAATGGTATAACAAATCTTCTTTTTCTAATAATTAATGAAACGTCAAAGCTTCCGCGCTTCGCGCGGGAGGGGGAAAACTGAATTCAAACAAGGATTAAGAGTCGAGAATGGTACAACGATTCGTCTTCTTCCTCTAATAATTTAATGAACCGTCATAGCTTACGCGCTACGCGCGGGCGGGGTAAACTGAATTCAGACAAGGATTAAGAGTCGAGAATAGTACAAAGAATCGTCTCCTTTTCCTTATAATTAAAGAAAACGTCGAAGCTTCCGCGCTTCGCGCGGGAGGGGGGGGGGGGGGGAAACTCAATTCAGAGAAGGATTAAGAGTGAAAAATGGAACAACGAATCATCTTTCTCTAATAATTTCATTAAACTACGAAAGGCCAACGTTTCCGTGTTTCGCGCGGGAGGGGGAAAACTGAATTCAAACAAGGATTAAGAGTCGAGAATGGTACAACAAATCTTCTTTTTCTCTAATAATATTAATGAAAGGCCAAAGCTTCCGCGCTTCGCGCGGGAGGGGGAAAACTGAATTCAAACAAGGATTAAGAGTCGAGAATGGTACAACAAATCTTCTTTTTCTCTAATAATATTAATGAAAGGCCAAAGCTTCCGCGCTTCGCGTGGGCGGGAGGAAACTGAATTCAGACAAGGATTAAGAGTCGAGAATGGTACAACAAATCGTCTTTTTTCTCTAACAATTAAAGAAAGGTCAAAGCTTCCGCGCTTCGCGCGTAATGGGGTGGGGGGAGGGGGGAGGTGATAGCAAGCTGCCCGAATATGAGTTTTTGATATCTTTTCTAGTTTATTTTGGTGATAAATAACACTTCATAAAATACATATTATGCTCACATTGTTGCTCGGTCGCTTCGCTCACTATTTCGAATTGTGAAACCAGAAAATTACTTTTCAGGCAAGAGGCTATGGCCCCCCCCCCCCGATGAAAATGTCAAAAATTGTACCGGTATGGTGCTTCTAATATGACCTTGTCAGTATTGTTGAGTTGAAAAAACGGTCTGCGCAATTTTCAAATTTCCGGCCCCCCCTATTGGAAAATCCTGGATCCGCGCCTGTATAAGTGCCCCATTTTCACCTCTGGTAATTACCCTTTGTACTTTGGCACGTGCTTCTTTACTTTTCTAATAAATGTCTTATCCCTTTCGCTAAGTGTCCCCTTTTCATCTTTTCATCGCACCCCTGATTCAAGCAACTAAGAGCAATTTCCCCCAAAGCTCGCTCGCATTTAAAAATGATGTAATTATGTAACCTATTTTAAAGGTCTTGTCAGTCTTCCGCTATAAGAAAGGCTTATAACCCCATCAGGACCAGGTTTTTCTTCTCTACGAGATGTAATTATTCGCTCTGCCACCGTCACAAATCTTTAACATTTTCAGACCATCACAGCCAACTGCAAAGTATGATGCTTATTAAAGCAATAGCTTGTATAGTGTATTAAGAGAAACGAATGTTAAATTCATCCCTAATAATGTAATCACAATGTAGGGGTATATACCAATGTCTAAAAAAATTGTATATTTTTTGCTTTGAGATTTCCCTTTGTATGTGCCCTTTTGGTGGTCCCCCCCCCCTCCCCCTCCCCATACACACACTTTGTAAGTCGCTCCGCCGCTCTGGCTCGCTCCCACATTAATTGTATTAGGGACCTCGGAGATTTGTTGAGCTGAACCAGCATATAATTAGCACAGATGATCGGTTCTGGACGAAAAGTATAGGATGGATGGGTATAAAGGAGAATCCAGGTACTCCAATTAAATGGGCTGCTGCTGCTAGCAAGATAACATCTCTTTTTTTAAATTTTCACAAAGAAAAAGAAAGAATATGTAATAGTCAAGAAAGAGAGAACAGCAAAAAAGTTACCGATAAACAAAAATAATACTAAGCCGCAAATTACTTAAAAAAATCCTACTATATAGTATAATAACCTAATATTATAGGACAGCGTTTTTCAACAGGGGTGCCGGCCGCAAGAAAAGCTTAGTCCATAACTATATTTATATTTAAAAAACTTCATTTTGGAATAACGTCGATTTCTTGAAAACATAGAAAACGCTAAATTATGTAATTTCATGAGGAAATAGCATTCTAAAGATAATCAAATCTTTTCCTTCCTCATTCGCTTCGCTAGCTCGCAACATTTAGAAGCATGATGATTTATTGCAGCAAAGTGCCTTGATTACTTATTTTAGAAACAAATGAGCTCATGCATGGCAAGGGACGAGTGGCAGCAGGCGCGTACGCAGGATTTTTTCAAGGGGGGGGTTTTTAACATTTATAAATCGGTCCGAAAATTTCGCAACGACTCAGCCAGCCGCTGAATAAGCGGGGGGGGGGGGGGGGGGGGGGGTGGGTAAGAGGACACATTTTTTTTTTTTTTGGTCCCAAAAAAATCGCAACGACTCAGCCGACCGCTGAATAAGCGGGGGGGGGGGGGGGGGTAAGAGGACACTTTTTTTTTTTTTTTTGGTCTCGAAATTTGACATTTTGCTCCGTTGGGGGGGGTAAGGTCACCTTTTTTAGGTCGGCCATGGGAATAATTTTTTTTTTTTTTTTTTTTAGGGGGGTTTACACACAAAAAATTTCCAAAGGGGGGGGGTTTAACCCCCCACCCCCCCCCCCCCTGCGTACGCGCCTGAGTGGCAGAGTGATGATTGGGTGACTTGAAACTTTTTATTTCTCTAAAGGGTGCTGTAACTAAAAAAAAAAAGGTTGACAAACGCTGGTATATATGAGCTTAGAAGCTTAGTTACATCAACAATAGTGACCCTTGCATGAGAAAAGATCGATATAAAGTCACTATATTGCAAAGTAACAAAAATATAGGTTTTCTACATTAACAAAACTCTGACTTTATTTTCCATTAGCAGAGCAGCAATTAATGGTCCCACCCCCTAGACCGAAAGCTTCAGTCTCTGATATCGACGGCTGTTCCACTGAGATTACACCTGGCTCCTCTGACCGCCTCTATTGTCAGTATCATTAAAGAATGACCCATACGCAGGGGCGGCTGAGCGACTTCCAAAGTGGGGGGGGGGGGGGTGGGGCACCAAGAAAAAAGGGCACCTTCAAAGAGAAATCATAAAGCGAAAATATACAATCTTTTAGACATTGGTATATCCCTATACATTGTGATTACATTATCAGGAATGATTTCAATATTTGTTTCACTTTATACACCATACAAGATATTGCTTAAGCATCATGTTTTGCAGTTGGGTGTGATGGTCTGGAAAATTATTTGCGAGCGAGCGAAGGGAGCAAGGAATTTTTTTTAATACTTGTGAGATCGCTGTGCTAAAAATTACTGAAAAGGGGGCACCGATCAAATTTTAAAGGGGCATTTATCGGAGGTTAAGAGGACACTTATCTGAATTGAAAAGGAGTAACTTCTCGTAACTGAAAAGGGTCATTTACCAGGGAGGGGCACTTATAAGAAGAGGAAGGGGCTCTTTTTTAATGGGGCACTTACCATTAGGAAAAGGGGCACTTATTAGAAAGGAAAAGGGGCACTTGTGAAAATATAAGGTGCGCTTATCCGAGTTAAAATGGGGGTAGTTATTAAAAGGGGAAGGCGCACTTATTACAAAGGAAAAGGAGCACTTGTCAAAGAGTAAAAGAGGCACCTCTCAGATTTGACTAGAGGTGAAGGGGGCACTAATCAAAAGTGAAAAGGGGCACTTCTCGTACCTGACAAGGGGCACTTACTAGAGATTAAAAATGGCACTTATGATAATGGAAAATGGACACTTATTGCAAAGGAAAAAGGGAACTTGTCGAAGGAAAAGGGGCACGTGTCCAAGTAAAAGGGGCACTCATCAGAGTTGAAAAGGGGAAGAGGCACTTTAATAGGGGCACTCGTCAAATTAAAAGGGGCACTTTTCTATGTAAAAAGGGGCGCTTCTTACAAATTAAGTAAAAGGGGCACTTTTCCTACGTATAATGGGGCACTTTTCGGGTACTTGAAAAAAGGGGGCACTGTGCCCCCCTGCCCCCCTGGAGGACCGCCTCTGCCTATACCAGACGGCTATTTCTGTCTACCGGAAAAAAAAGTCTTGGGCCGCGGGTCTAAGATTGATCTCAGAAAAAGTTTTGAATCTGTGAGAACTTTTTAAATGTGCATTTCACTTGTTTCTTGAACAAATCAAAAGAGATCCTATTTTGTGTCTATACTTTAATAATTCAATCTAAAAAAAAAAAAACCTCCCTGCACCCCCGCCGGTGCCTCACTGCGCATGCTTCGCGCGCTAGCAAAATTATATATGTCAATTTAACAGGCGCTATGATTGGTCAATTCTTTGATTCCGGCGCGCCGTCTCTAAACCCGCGAACGTCGACTGTGGCAGCGAAGCTCTGTTTTGGTTTCAAAAGGACTTGTCCAGAGTGCTTTTTCTACATATAAATCCCAACTTTTGTATATCCATCGTCTTGAATACTTTTCAAATATGTTTAACAATCAAGGAGGTAATGATCTTTTCTGATGATTTCATTGTAGTTCCTTTAACTCTTGTGAAAGTGTGTGTTACGTGTGTGTGTGAGAGGATAGTGGAATGTACAACAAATACCACAGACTACAGTCCCAGAAGTGCAGATTTGTGTCTCTGTCACATCGGTAATAGACGGGGCATGTGGCCGTGACCCGTGTGTTGTGGAGGCCAAAGGCAAAGAGTTCATCTGTCTTCCGTACTAGACTACTGACATTATATGTATTAACCGCAATTTTTATATTCCAAACTTACGGAAGATAGATATGTAATTCATGAACTGATTTAGAGGTCTACCAGATAGTAACAGTACCACATTTGAATTTGCCATGCTATTTTGCAACTTGAACTTGCAAGTCTTCATTTGGCTCTAGTTCAGAAGTCTATCCAAAATTTGACCCTTAACTCTGGCATGGAGATACCCTACTGAAAGTTAAAATATACCCAAAATGAATTAAATATTCATCAAATGTCCAAATAAAGGTCATGATTTAAAAGTCGATAATGTTTGTTACCTGTTTCGTGTCAATTTTCTTATCTTTTTCGGAGTATTTTTCCTAAAAACAAAGACTTGTAAAAGACCCTCTATGCACTTTCTCACGGCATTCACGGCAAACTGCACCCCAATACAATTGCTTACCGTACCGACGGTGGGGTGCGGGTATGCGTGTGTTCAGTTAGCGACCGTAAGAGAAAATAGCCTTGTTCGTGTTGTTTCCTTTGATCTTTTGTAAGCCAAATCTCCAATCTTCTTCTTTCTCTGTTGAGTACAGAGCCTATTTTAGTATCATTTTGAAGACACTGTTACACATAATGACTGACAGTGACAACGGTTTGTGCCTGCAAACCATCTATTCCTCTTGACCGCTTGTAGATTTGGATTAGTCTACCTCAGCTTTCGGTCTTCAGTACGAGAGGATTTTCAATCAGTTTCCATTGTGTCTTTAACAAGTTAAAAAATGTATATTTGTTAATTCCTTGTCAGGTTTTGATGGGTTTGGTAATGACCAAGGAGGGCAAGGCATGGGAGGAGGTGGCTTCAATTCACCTGGATTAGGGGGAGGATTCAACTCACCGGGAGTCGGAGCATCACAGTCTAAGGTTTGTTCACATCAATATCATTCTTCCTGAGGCCAAAAAAAAGAGATGTTGTATTGCAAAAAAAAGGGGTCGGTCGGTCAGTTATCTTTTTTTTTTTTTTAATACTTTTTCTCCCTCTTTTGGCAGATAGATAGATTTATAGTACCTGTTGATTGATGCCAAGTTTTATCACACAAATACGATGCTGCCAAACAGTCTGACAAACCATACCACGAGACATGAGTTAACAGACCACATAAAACTTGAGATCAGAGTCGAGAAGAAGCCCCAAGAATTTCTCCTTTGCTGAGATTAATCTATTTATTTATTTCTGATATTTAGACGGAGTGACTCATAATCACCCATAATGGTGGTCTTCCATGAGGCCCTGTTAAAGATTATGAGGAACAATAGTTTTTTTTAAATATATATAATAATAATAATAACAATATCATGGACATAAATTCATAACAGCAATAATGAATAAGTAAGAACATGTATAAACATAATACACAAAGTATTTGGTATCCTCGTAATCAAAGAATGGTCTGCTTGTTTTATTTTGCTTTGCTTTTTCGTTCAAGAAACCGTTGTTGCATATTTATAATATCTTAATGTAACATTAAAGTTTAGATGGTAATTAGATTTTAAATCCAATGAAAAGTAACTATTAGCATATTTCGGTATGTATTAGACTTTGAATTCATGTTTTTTTTGTCTTTCTCCCTGTATCTATAGGCAAAGAGAGCACAGAAAATCATACCATGTAACATTGCACAGATCATGCAGGCAGCACAGAATGAAAATGATTTCAAAATCGGTGATGTTGAAATTCATCAGGTAATTATATTTTTATGCAAATGATTTTCAGTGAATGTTGAGAAAGTACGGAGTCCAAGAGTATTGTAGGGTATCTTGTGATGGCATTATCATTAGAATCGATGGATGGATTACCATCAAACTCAAGAGATGTATGTATCATGCAATGAACAGTAGATTTTAAGGTCATGAGATCGAAGGTTATGAGACTCATTACGCATGCATAAATAGCTTGTGAATTTATTCTCATTAGAATTGACGGATGGATTACAATCAAACTTAGGACATGTATATCTTGCAAAGCCAATGAACTGATTAGATTTAAGGATCATGAGGTCAAAGGTCAAAGGGTCATACATGTATATGAGAAATAGCTTGTAATCGCGATATCCTGAGAACCTGTTCTGGATTACGATCAAACTTGAATTTGAAAAATTGCTTCTGTTTTGGTTTGTAAAATTGCTCTATGACGGAGGCATCAAGTTCCATCTAGTTTATCCTTTTTTAATATCCAAAATCCCCTAACTTAAGATTTGCACAGTCACAGTCAGATGATGATTAACCCCTAAAATGTGATACCAGTTCCTAAGATCCTAGAGAGTCCCTACTGGTAATCCCCTGAGAAACCAGAGTAATCATAATGCCTTGAGGGGGACCGTCTGTAATCTTGATGATTGACCCTAACCTTGGTGCCCTTGGACGTCCCTCGTAGGATGCCGGACACCGGGTTTACCTCGGTGGTCTTTCATTGTAAACCCAGACGGATAGGACACCATCTGACACGGGATGTGAGCTGCCACCGCTAGAGATCCTGCGGTGTTTCGTAGCTCCATCTCAGGATGGGACAGAGTGGGTTGGATTTACCATGAAAGTTAGGAAACGGGAAAAGATCTTGCTATGTGGCAGGGAGAGGAGTTGGACAAAATGAGTAATTCAGGAAAGTCTTGGGATATCCAGTTTCTTGTTAGATGCCACTTCAATCCCTGTTGCTAGTAAGCATTTGTTTTGTTTGGTCAGTCAGGATGGGGAGACTGTGGGTTGGAAATCAGAAGGGTCTGTCTAGGAATCCTTGGCTGGCTCCGTGATCACAAACATCTTTGGTAATCTGATGACTATAAACTAAATGTAGTAGTGTCGTGGTCGAGTGGTTTAAGGCGCTTGACTAGAGATGCAAAGGTCAAGGGTTCGAATCCCGACACTGCACTAATATCCTTTGGCAAGATATTAACCTGCACTTGTTACACTCCGCCCAGGTGTTAAATGGGTACCGGGCAAGTATTGAATCCAATGACCAGGGTAATAGTGTATCTGTAAAGCACTTAGAGACATCATGGATGTATTAAGTGCTATATAAAAGCGGAATTATTATTATTATTAAAGATTGGATGCTACTTGAAAGTGCAGAGTGGTATGTACATCCAATGCTTTATTCCATTTGCTCAACAAACCTAACACTAATATGGATTTGTGATGATACATTAGAATGAAACTTTGTAAATGTGGTCTCTTTTGTTCCATGGGTATTGAAACATGCCAGATATTTTGATGTTTCCTCTTTACATCTATGATGCTTATAATGAACTGTAGTCTTGAAAATAGTATATTTGTAAAGCGCTTAAAGACATTTTTATTACGCACTATATAAAAATTAAACATTATTATTATTATTATATAATTTGGAGATAGTTGGCTGCTTACATGTACTTGTTAAAAGATTAATTTGATTTGTTTGTTTTTACCATAGGTGTGTATTGTAGGAGTAATAAGGAAGGCAGAGGTGTCTGCAACGAACATCGTGTATGACGTTGATGATATGTCAGGACCCATCATGGAGGTCAGACAATGGATCGACTCAGATGTAAGTCATATCCTATCTTCTCGTCTCTCTTTTCCCCCTCTCTCTCTCTCTCTCTCTCTCTCCTCTCTCTCTCTCTCCTCTCTCCCCTCTCTCCCCTCTCTCCTCTCTCCCCTCTCTCCTCTCTCTCCCCTCTCTCCATCATCGTAATCAAATGCTTCACTCTCAAACTTCTTTTCACTCCCAAACTTCTTTTCACTCCATATAGTTGTCTCCTATGAACCCTCAAACTCTTCCCCCGTCTGTATACTCCCTCTTCCTTCCCTCAAAATAATAAAATGTAAAAATGCTTCTTACGAAAAGTGATACATCGCATTGTCTTTTTCTATCCTATTCATGTACAGGATTCTAGCATGGATCAACAACCCACAGTTTACGAAGAGAACACGTACATCAAGGTTTCCGGTAACGTGAGGGCGTTTGGTGGAAAACGTAGCATCGGTCCTTTCAGAATTGCACCCATCAAGGACCTCAACGAAATATCAATGCACATGGCCGAGGTTGTACAATCACATATGCTTCTCACCAAAATGGCCACAGCAGTGAGTATTTCCAGCTGTGAATTCTATGAAAGGGTTTTTTTATTTTCCGATAGCAAGATAATTTAGCTTATTGTTCCAAAGATATTCACAATTGTTATTACGATTTGCATCCAGTATAGAGAAATGTAAATGTAAGAGTTGTTTGATTACAGATAGTGCCATGGTAGAAAGGATAAGCAGTGAAAATGGTAGGGCTGTGCACAACAGTGTAATGAGGTACCCGAGTACACTCCCAGGCTCACAGGCGAATACTAGAATATTCGGACGCCATGTTTTTTTTATAATTTTTTTGAATTTTTTTGAATTTTTTTGAATTTTTTTGATTTTTTTTGAATTTTTTGATTTTTTGATTTTTTTTCTTTTTTTGATTTTTTTGCCACTACCATACCACTCGGCAGTTTCTCAGGTCCCTCGCAGAAAACGCATGCAACTTTACTTTGAGTTGCAGTTGAAGGCGCCGATTTAATAAGAAGAATAACAGTAAACAATGCTGTTTTAAAAACCAAAGATGGCAGAATAATCCATTTTCCTCCAAGTCCAAACAGAAATCTGGACATTTGGTCCCAGTTTCTGAAAGGTGAGTTTGACAGTGCTTGAGTTGGGAAACATTTTTACCGACGGTACCATGCCAGCGGACGCCGCTCTCCCTGGCATGGGTAAGCGCTGGCCTGGACATTTTTTTTTTTTTTATTTTTTTTTTTTAATTTTTTTTTTTTTTTTGCGGCCGAATATTCGGGTACAAGAAATCGTACCCGAGTAGTTGTCAACCGTGCGGGTACTCGAGCATTCGACTACCCGTCGCAGCCTTAGAAAATGGAATAATTGATTTGGCAGTGAAATGGTTAAAGCTGCTTATTTGTTTTGATAAAAAAAAATTAAAGCCCCACTGCACTAGTTATAGCTACTCATGCCCTCTATATAGCAAACAATGCCTAATCGGTGCATGCAGGTGGTCCCCCATGATCCCCTTATCTTACTTGAGAGCTCATTTGATGAGATAACCACCTGTCAGTGACCATGCAGGGAGGTCTAGTCCACCATGGCCAAACTAGTGCAGATAGGCTTTAAAGAAAGTAGCATGTTGTAATAATTCTGTTCTTTCATTGTTAATTTTTTTTTTTTTGTGCGGCTTTGAATGCATTTCTTGTTACAAAGGAATCAAACATAAATGGAAGAAAATACTCCAACTTGATGAAAATTGTGAAGATCGCAAGGTCAAAAGATTACTTTGATGCGTATGCAGAGCTGCCAACCAGTACGATTTTATCGTATTTTGTACAATTTTTAGAAGTAAATACGACAGTACGATTTACTTCCATAAAATATGATTTTTCAACAACAACAAAATTGTTTGTGTGTGTGCCATTTTCAATGGCAAATTGCCCATTTTCTCCTGAAAAGTATCTTGCAAACATCTCACCATTGGTTCATCGAACACACCAGTCATGATGAAATCATGCATATTCAACCAATGGTCCATGAAAAAATTTCTTCCTGTATGTAGAAACTTGTGCAAAAATAAAATGCATATTTGCGGTTATAAAGTACTTATCGATCAAAAATAGGATATTTATTTTGAAAACAGGATTTTTTGGGGAAAAGAATAGGATTTTGGTTCAGTTGGGGTTGGCAGCTCTGCGTATGATTTCCAGCTGATATACAAAATGTCTCGTATCTTTCATTATTGTAGCAGAACGGCAACATTAGTACAGGAAGCATGGCGGACCCAAACCACTACAGAACACCGGTGAAGGGAGGAAACATGATGGGGGGAGGAATGATGGCACCTAATAATGGACTCGACAATGTACAAACACAGGTAGGTGGTGATGGTGGTGGTGATGGTGGTGGTGGTGGTGGTGGTGGTGGTGGTGGTGGTGGTGGTGGTGGTGGTGGTGAAGATGATGACGATGGTGATGATGATGGTGATGATTGTGATGGTGATGAAAGTAACAATGATTGTGAAGATGATGACGGTGGTGATGATAATGGTGATGAAAGTGATGATGATTGCGATGAATGATAATGATGAAGATGGTGAAGATGATGACGATGGTGGTGATGATGGTGATGATTGTGATGGTGATGAAAGTGACGATGATTGTGAAGATGATGACGGTGGTGATGGTGATGGTGATGAAAGTGACAATGATTGTGATGAATGATAATGATGAAGATGATGACGGTGGTGATGATAATTGTGATGAAAGTGATGATGATGGTGATGTTTGTGATGAATGATAATGATGAAGAGGATGATGGTGATGATTGTGATGAATGATGATGAAGATGATGATGACGGTGATGATGACGGTGGTGATTATGATGGGGATGATTGTGATGAATGATAATGATGAAGATGATGACGGTGATGATGATAAATGATGGGTGGAGGGATGTCAATGCCTAATAATGGACCTAACAATGTACAAACACAGGTGAGTGGTGTGGTTACCAGGCGGAGAAGGAGGAGGAGGAAGAGAAGGATAATGATGCCAATGATGGTGATAATTAATTTATTCTTTATTGCTCATACCTTTATGTTAGCTTCACACTCTCTATTTTGCAAACCCTCAAAAAAGAAAGCTTGAATGCAAATACATACAAGTTTAAAATATGTTTACTCTTAATTTATATACTCTCTCTGTCCATACAGATTCATCAGTTGATTACGAGTTGCCATGATGAAGAAGGAATCAGCATGGATTATCTCTCCGGGCAGCTAAAAGGAATTTCAAGAGATTCTATCAGGTAAAGACTTGCAAAGAAGCTGGCAATATCTATTTTAAATAGGCGTATAAGGGACTAATAATCCAGTATCCACAATTTTAACATGTTCTTAAAGTAAAATAAAGATATGTATTATGTAGACATAGCCAAGCTGAACCAACCCACCGTTTGTGTTTACCATTATTATTTAACCCTTACTGTACTGGGGGGGGGGGGGGGGGCCTGGGAGGCCCCCCCTCGACATTTTCGGAGATCGCGCCGCAACCGCTTGGAATTCTGAATTGTCGTTTCATGACTTTTTTCCCTCAAGTCTTACGCACACTTTGATACCATTTTCGTTGATATCGGATATACCTGTAAGGTGTTACATAACAATTAGTATGCACATGTCATCAAAAAAGTGCTATAATTGCATATATTCATGTACAAGCAGAAATGTGAAGATATGAATTGATATCAAATTGCTTTTATATGTTTCTCAAAGTTACTTGATGTATTTCAGAACAAAAGAATACATTAGAAATAAAACAATAGATATAATAAGAAATAAAAAACAATGAAATACATAAGAAAATAAATAGTTGAAAATCGCATCAAATTTGCATAAATTATCATTATTAATTACATCAAATAACTATTTTGTGTTAGAAAAGAAGTTTCATATGAATAATTAGTTTCAACATTAAAAAAGTGGAGTCTGACAAAAGTCCATCCTGATGTTAAGGTGGATTTAATGCAAGCAAAAAAGGAGAGGAACAGACCAGTGAAAGTTTGAGCAAAATCCAGTTAATAATAAGAATTTTAAAAAAGTTTTCATCAGTGAAACACAAATTGGCAACACTGTGACGTATCTTGCGAGATCTTCTCCAATTTGCTCTGTACAAAAATATCATAAAATTTCATTTTCTTAGATATAATTGATGGCGGAATAGATTTGTTTTATACAGGGGTTGTATAGAAACATATTTACAATTATTATATATTAGGGTGCATGTATGATTGAACATTTTTTTAAGGGAAAAAGAGAATTTTCTGAATTTTTTTAGACTCCTCCCCTCATTACTGAGAGAAAGAGTCGCTAGAAATACTGCTTTGTGTTGGTGGAACAGCAACATGTATAAGAATGACATTAATTATTAATGTTTTTAAGATGATTAAGCGAATCCTAATCAAGGCATTTATTTTGCCTAACACGTAATTTTACTGGTGACCGGTCATTAGTAAAAATCTTGTCATAAATCATTCTATAAAACATCATCTTATAAAACAAAAAATACACATCATTTTGTTCAGGCATTAGTAAAAATTACCTTCACTCGGTGCCTTTGAAACAGTCCAAACACCCTCGGCTATCGCTTCGGTGTGTTCTAAAAGTAACTTGCGTGGGTAATTCTTACTAATGCCCTCACTGCTGTGTATTATTTGTACACTAATCTCATTTTGATTTTAATCAACAGCCTCATAAAATGTTGTTTTCTTGTATTTCAGGAAAGCTGTTGAGTTTCTGAGCAGCGAAGGGCACATCTACTCCACCATTGATGATGATCACTTCAAATCAACAGAAAGCTGAACCCCTCCTCTCCCTCCCCACCTCTGACCCCTTCCCGCTCCTGACCCCTCCCCAACACTTGACCCTTACCCACCCCTGACCCCTCCCCAAGCTCTGCCATCAAGATCCGGTCACCTTCAAATCAACAGAAAGCTGAACCCCTCCCCCACCCCCTCCTCACCCCTGACCCTCCCTTGACCCCATTTCCTGACCCCTCCCCAACCCTTACCCTTACCCACCCCTGACCCCTCCCCAAGCTCTGCCATGAAGATCCAGTCTTTGCTCGATCCCACCCACACTCTATGGCCCGTACTCTACTGAAACCTTGGCACTGGGTCTAGGCATTTGTTCAAATCTGGGGGGGGGGGGGGGGGGGGGGTGTTTCACAAAACTTGTCATCAGTGACAAATGACAGTTTTTGTTATAAGCTAGTGAAATCCTTGCTTCTGATTGGTTATCAGCAGACTTGTCACTGATTTTTGTCATTTGTCATTGAAAAAAGCTTTGTGAAACGGGTCCCTGATTTAACAAAAGAAGTTAGTTTGAGGTCTTAGTATTCCCTATGTCAAACATGATATTAGACCTTGGGTCCGGTTTAACTGAATTAGTAGAACTGTTCGTTTCAGTTCATGTTTTTAACCCATTCTTTGCTTCACCATCATTGCTCTTCCAAATACATCTCTCCCTCCCCAGTGCTCTTTATGATTCCTCGCTGTTTTTCCTTGCTATTATAAATGTAGTATCTGTAGATTGTACAAAGTAAGTCTTGGAATTATTCCATTTGTCATTGCTTTATGGACACTAAACTAAGGCTCGTTCAGATAGGAAAACAGTTTTTTTACGACAACGTAAAGTTGGAAGTGTAATACGCTTTACATTTCTGTAAAACTTATAACAAAGAGCTCAGTGTATACGCCGGATCCTTTGTTGTGCACAATTGAATGTACACTTTAAAAAGAAAATGTTGGCTTTTGTGCAGCGGTTTTGATTCCACGCCATATATGAACAATCCTTACAGCATTCTTATGAGACTGCTTATCACAATGTGTGTGTATATGTTTTGTTCATAGGAATGTTAAACTAGCTATGTTAATTGGAAATATAGGAATAGACCCCTGTATCTATATCTCTCATGAAAGAGCCCATTTTAGTACCAGTATGCCCGTCTCCATCTCGCCTAGCTTCCCATGATTCTATCACCCTTTCCAAGTTACCTATGGACTTCATAGTTACTTTTATCTTTACATAGCCCTTCCTAATCAGAGTCCACACTAACTCTTTTGGAAGGGGGTCCAGATTTAACTTTTAGAGTCCATATGCGTGAGCTCTTATGTACTAAGAATTTTTGTATAACAATCTTCCATTTATGCCATATTATAGTCAAATAACCATCTTCATGTGGAGTAGACGAAAGATAGAATAAGTGGTTGTGTAAAGGTTATTGACATGACCTTAAAGACTTAATATTTTGTCCATACAATTGGACATGCATGTATCATTTTGTCTCTGCTTTATCTGAATATTCTTGAGAATATTTTTTGTCACCGTAACAGGCACAATTTTGTCATGTTTATATAGGATTTCTGATCTTTTGTACTATTTTCATGGTAAATGTATGGAATGAGACATTTTGACTTGTAAACATGTTTTGTTCTTTGTATCAAACTATTTCACTTCTACATGCATGAGTGAACACCAAAACTGTTTTTTTTTTATTGCAAACTCCTTATGCCACTATGTTTATTTTTTCAAAAGTTTTTAAAGGGTTTCTGTTTTTGTATTAACTGTGTGTATTACGGTATAACTGGTATCAGAAAGAAACCAATTTTAAAAATGTAGAGAACTCGCCAACCATCAAGAACATGGAATTAGAGCAATTGAAAAAAAATTTTTTTTGGCAGATTGCAATGGAAATCATGACTAGTATTAGCTTGCGAATACATCTTACATTATGATCTACAGTTGACTTTGAGAGCAATTACTTCTAATATCAATTGCCATACCCTTCATTAGAGAGTATGATAAAAATATTTCTACATTATTTTTGTGCATACATGTACCGGTATATGATATATGCCTTTGAGAGGAAAGATGTGTAAAGGCTCGTACAGACATGAGGCAGTAAATTGCTTCTTTTTTTTTAAGTCCCAAAAGAATGAGATCACACATGTAATACTCACATCTGTATATTGCATCACAAATATCAGTGATTATGGTTCGGGCCGTTTTGCATTCAGACATTTTATGTTCATTTCGGTGATTATTCTATAGTTGAACTTATCTCAAAGACAGTTGGATTATGCACAGCCGTTAGCATCTTTGAATATATTTTGCAAAAGTTTCTCTATAAGGCATAGGATGTTGATTCAAATCTTTCATATTTTCTATTATCATGGAGATTTCATGTTCTTGATGTGGAATTTATGAAAAGTCTTAATTTTTTGCTTTTGAATATATTTTATTTTTAGTCTACAAATGGCTCTCCATAATGTTTAGGTCCAACTTAGAGTTAAGTTCGACTTAGGATCTTTGTGAAACACCCCCTTGTGTCGGTCTGGTGTCGGTCTGGTGTCTGTCCGGTCGGTGTGACTGGTGTATGAAGAGGGTTTATATGAAGTTCTACAGCGGGAAGAGAATTCACTGGATGTAAGTTTGTACAATGTATATAGCAAAATATTACAAACTAATACAGAGTTCATTCAAAAGAAGAAATGGACAATAAAGTTTGTACATGTATAAAAAAATGTCTGGCCTAATCTTGGTGTTATTTTTTGTTTCTGTTTGTAGAGAATTCACTTAAACCTAATAAGGCAGGGAGGGGGCATTATGGCCCCCCCCCCCCCCCCCCCGTGATTTTTCTGATTGTTTGGGAACGCATACGGAAGGTGCCCCGCTGCTTGCCGACTTTTTTTTTTTAGTCTTGCGCATCTCTTAAAACAATTTTTTTGAATATCGGATGTACAGTTTCAAATTCACGTGACCTTTTGTCTTTGCATGTCAGCCCGAAAATTGCTCATTTTCGTGATTTTCCTTAACACCAGCTGATTTCTATTTCGGTGTTTAGAGCTGGTGTTAGTGTTAAACACTTAACTTTAAATCACTCATTGCCTGCAGTCAAAAGACAAGATATTTATGAGCGATGGAAAAACAATTTTTTTACAATAGTATTATACACTTCACTTGACATGCGTGCAAATTTTCGCGGCAATCAGCCGTATTTAGACCTCAAATAGCCCGGCCTTATATTAAGCTAATTGGTATAAAAGATTGAATTTCTTTTCTTTTTTAATTCACCGATATAAAAAAAAGTGTTCTAAGTCACTTGCAGTATAATGTAATTATAAGAAAATGGATGTTCCTTAACTGGCTTTAGAGAATATCGGGAGAACCTCCCCCCCCCCCCCCCCCCCCAAAAAAAAGAATGGTAGAAATGTGATTTTACAATTGCCTTTGATATGCCTGTAAAGGTTGTGTTTAAGTGTGAAAGCAATGTGGAGTAAATGGAGGATTTTCATTGAGATGTGAAGAGGAAAGTGAACCTAGATAAGAAGGCCTATATGAGACATTATTACCCGTATCAGACATCTGAGCTGGTCATTTACAAAACCGTATTGCCCTAGTTTTCACTAGCAGTGGGAACGGAGGGGTATATTCTTTGTATTTTCCTTGGTCTCCCTGCGCGTATTGACTTTGCGTGTAGAGACGAGTGAAAATATACCTTGGTATTTTCCACGGTCTCCGCGCCGTATTTTGTCATTTTCATTGCGCATCTATTATGCTTACGAGAACCTGCGCACTTTGCGCGCACTCTATTGTGACGTAATAATCACACCAAATGCACACTGTTTGCAGTGTATCGAAAATTTTGTCAAGCACTGGATGCACAGTGCTGGTTTGACAAAGTTTGTTCAGTTCTTGAGATTGTCATGGTGGATTTCTGTATTTGCTCTAGATGTCTGATTTGGATAACAATAAAAATATTGACTGGCTTTACTTTCGGGGGATATCAGAAATATTGACCGCGCTAAGACCATATTGCCCTCGTCTTTCGACTCGGGGCAATATGATCTGAGCTTGGTCAATATATCTGATATACCCCTCAAGGCCAGTCAATATTATATAAATATGAACTTCCATACAATTGTCAATACTACAATCAAGCTATCCCTTATGTAAAAAGCATGCTAGTTGTCCATGCCACGTTAGAATGTGGTTTCTTTCATGATGAATTCAGAATCACTTTCAGACCATTGCCCTTGAAAAGAAATGCCATCAGAACTCAAAAGTATTTGGCGCCGACTCTGCCTGGGAAGGAAAAAGCAAAATCAATCATTTTAACCAGGGTTGTACGTCAATCCTCCTGCATTTGGAGGGAGTCTTGCCACCACGCTCATTCTCCCGCCGTCCCACCAGCTCGTAGCGGGAGACTCCCGCCAGCACGCCTTTCCTCCCGCTCTCCTGCAAACGAGGTAAACTCTCCAGGTTGATGAAAAACCTCCCGCCAAACGTGTAAAATGAAAAGGAAAAAATATGTATATATTTTTAGTGCTCACTACCCCCCCCCCCCCCCCCCCCCACCCCTTGAGCACAAAATTTGCATACATTACGGTACGCTGGTTCGTCTGAAGAAAAAAATCTCCCTCCAAACAATTCCCCAAAGTTGACAGCCCTGCGATATAACTGATTGGGATATGCCAATATGCAGGTGAACTACTACCACTTTTATACTAATAGTGCAGCGAGTTTGAAAAGGTGGTGACTCTCCTCTATACACAATGCCTCCATTTAACATCCTATCCCTGGGATGGAGTGTTTTCACACTGTTGTCTAGTCTGCATCTATGAAACGGGAGAGGGGCACATTCACACACAATGCAGGCTTCGGTCATCCACCTGGGTTGAATTTGAACTTGTGATCTTTAGGTTAAAAGGGCAGACGCTTTTCTGACAGAGCCAACTTGCCTCTACAAGCCAACTCGCTTCTACAATGATTCTTAGATCTCAATTTTACACACACACACATTCTCTCTTCCTTTCTCTCTCCCTCTCCATCTCTCTCCCCCTCTCTCTCTCTCTCTCTCCCCCTCCACAATCTGTCAACTATGTCTCTAATTCTCCCTCTTCCCCTGGGTTGAATTCGAACTTGTGATCTTTGGTTAGAAGGGCAGACACTTTTCTGACTGAGCCAACTTGCCTCTACAATGATTCTTTGATCTCAATTCTACACACATACACGCACACCCTCACATACACACAAACAGACAAAAAAGGGCATGATGTGTCATTATCTGATGAGTGGATTGACTTTTATTGCAATTACAGAAATATCCTGAATTCTTCAACAGATATGAACACTTACTGACGACAGGTAGGTTACTCCATAATAATCCATTATTTACAAATTCAAATCACAACATGTAACATTCATACTGTCTGTATGAAGCCAGAAGGATGCTTACTCAGAGTTTATCACAGAAGGCCCGTCTTCATCCGCTCGAGATTGCCGAATAGCCCGCTATTTCTGCTTTGGGAAATAATCCCGACGTTGCAAATCACGTCTTCATCGGCTCGAGATTCGAAACTTGAAACTCGACCTCGAGAAATAAGCTCGAGATATTTTGCTCAGCGTTCGCGCATATGGCGAGTCTTCGGGCTGGTGAAAACGCACCAGACAAATGGCGGGATATATTGCAAACTAGCCCAAGATATCTTGGGATGATTATCTTGACCAAATATCCCGCAATATCAACGTAGGGCTGATGAAGACGCAAATTAGCTGGATAATTTGCGATCGGGTAAGTTGAAATAGCGCGATATCTCGAGCTGATGATGACAGGCCTAAAGATGATGCCCTTCTGGTTCTGTGCAGACGATCATTGACACAGAGTGCATAGATCAATCCATCCAGGACCCTGTTTCACTAAACTTGATATCAATAACAAGTTACAAGCTACTGTTATAAGCTACTGAAATCATGGCATCTGATTGGCTGAGAGCACATTTGTCATAGAAATTTAGCATTTGTTATAGATAACAAGTTTTATGAAACAGGCCCCTGATTCATCTGCACATTCAAAAACGGGTGTCCACCATCAAGATTCTGAAGGCATAATTTGACGCTATTTGTCCCCTGAGAATTTCTGAATATTTAGATGCAGCAACAAACAAAGCACAAGATAATGTATAGTCTTTTGCTCATGCTTGAATGTGCATTCAAATCTGGTTTTGACAATAAAATGAGTGATTTCAAGTTGGGTGCAAGTGTTTAGAGCAGTCAAGAGCTCTTAAATAAAGCTAAAAATTTGCTGATGAAATTAAGAGCCTGATATCGATATCAATAGTTTAACGATTAACACTAACACTGAACTGGAGATCAACATTTGCTTAATCCCTAGGGGTTAGTGTTATTGAATAGGGCATTTGTACATAAAATATTAACACCAGCCACAAAGGTCGGTTCAGCAGACAACAATTTTGCAAAATCAATAACACTGGCTACCAGAAGTTGATGATGTTCAGAGGTCAAAGCCTTAACACCAGCTGATTTCCATTTCGGTGTTTAGAGCTGGTGTTAATGTTTATTAAACACTAACATCAGTCCTAAACACCTAACTTGAAATCATGCATTGCCTGAGTCAAAAGACAAGATATTTATGAGCGATGGATAAATCAAAACATTTGAATGGGATTTTTTAAAAGACAAGTAGACCTATTCCAAAGCAAACTCTTTAAGGGTTGTGTTCATACTAAAAGTTCCATCTAAAAATCCATCCAAAATTGAAAGAGGATCTATTTTGTCATCCTATGACTTAACACCCATGTACTGTGCCTTACCTTTTAAGGCTAGCTCAGATGTGATGCAGACAAACTGCAGCAGCAGACTACCAATTTCCTCATGTGTGATTTTCGTACATGTATTTCTTACAAGTTTTTCTTTTGTTCAATCCTTCCAAAATCATTTTCCTGTACCGGGTATATATATATATATATATGCAATATGTATTCATTTTATTTGATTATCATACTTAAAATGGAATATCTTTGCTGAATAAAGCATGTTTGACATGACAAAAGAAATATGTATAAACCCACTATTTCTACCTGTGAGGAATTATATACTTTCATAAACGATAGATGTGTGGATTATCTAACATGGTTCTATGAATAAAGATTTTCAATACAACATGTACATATCAATGCCATGAACAAAAAATCTAACTTAACTGTCTAATCATAAATGTCTTAATAATTCATCCCACAAGTTCACATAGATAAAACCTTAATGGTTCTCATCTACTATTTAATAGTAATTCCTGAAACTCTCAACAAATTTTCCCATTTTTGTTTAGGGCTAACGCACTATGATCATTGAACCTAAGCAAATTTTCTACAAAAGTAAATGAAAAGAGAAGCTGAGAAAGCCATCTTCTCAAGACTTGAAGAGATTAAACATCTCACAAAAAGTTTCAGCTCTCCTGGCTCCCCGCAAATGATATTTTCACTTCTGAAAGACTCATTAATTTTGTTTGATCCATATCGATTCCTTTGGCAAAAATTTAAATCAGCTGGATAAATGTTACATATGACAAAACAAGTATCATATCAATTCATTCATTGTTCTTCTACAGTTACATGTGCAGTTAAATAACAAATGAATTATCCATACCCCTTGTAGATGTTTTAATATTTTTTGTGGTTTTTTTTTTGCAACTCAAGAACAAACCTTGGGCTGATTAAATTAGGGCCTTTATTGAATACTTTTAGATGTAAGCTTTAATATGTCAGATTCTCAAGAAAAAGAAATCTGGACAACTCAATATTTTCTCATACTTATAAATTTACAAAATTGTGGCAAGGGTATGAATAATTCAGTTGTCAACTGTACATTTCTTCCTTACAAGTCAAAAGAAAGAAACACCTGTCAATATGTAATTATAACCATTCATAACAGGATTACATAGAGGTGGGACATACAAGAATTACAAAATGAAGTTTGGTTCAAAAAGAAACATCTATAACAAAAAAAAAAAAAAAAAAAATATGCTGACTAAAATATTATGGTTATTACTATAACTGTAATATCCATGTGCCTTTCACTATTAAAATCCAAAGGCAGTGTTTTCATTTTTTAACTTTGTGCAGCAAGATATCTGATTCTTCGTGCACAAAACTTAATTTGAGATCATTAAAAAAAGTTGAGATAAAATGTATCATTTGGATCAAAATCTTCTTTTTCTCCTCTGTACAAAAAATATATTTTATGCATTTCTATGTTACTCACGACAGATAGAGAGGGAGAGAGAGAGAGAGAGAGAGAGAGAGAGTATAGCTTGTATCCAGAAGAATATGTTAGGAGATAATGAGGATTGGGTTGATTAATATTACAAATACAGAGTGAAGAAGTCAGACAGATAACATTCACAAATCAAGACTCTAATTTCAGCCTTTGAGAGTTGTACGAGGGAGTTAGGCTCGGAGCTCTTTGGGACGGTTCTCGAACAGGATGTCGACGACTGTGGAGTCGGCCATGGTCGAGACGTCTCCGAGGTCGTGGTCGTTGACAGCGATCTTCCGAAGGACTCGTCTCATGATCTTACCAGAGCGTGTCTTGGGAAGGCCAGGGGCATTGTGGATCACCTCGGGGGCGGCAAAAGGACCTATCTTGGAACGAACTGTGTAAATTAAAATTTATAAAAAACATAGATTGGAAATGATTGAAAAGATAATATTGCGGGGTCAGTGACACGAAGACGTTACTCCATTTGGCCATTTGGAGAAAAAGTGGTTTACCGTAAATCTCTGTGTATAAGATGCACTTTTTTGCCGCCAAAAAAAATTCAAAGTCGGGGGTGCGTCTTATACACAGGTTTAAGAATTTTTTTTTTTAAAGTTTTCGACTTATGAACCTCCATGTGGCGCTATGCCTGGCAATGTCTTCCAGCTCAGTAATCGGTGTGTTGACTCACCCCTCGGAAACTAGAACAACACTCAAATTGGTCTGTCCTCTTGGTTTGAAAGTAATCTTTCTGATAGATCTCAATATGTCGTTTATAATAATAATTCCTCCATTTTTTCTTCTATTACACACGCCGCACAACAAGGTTCTATCCTAGGTCCATTACTGTTTTGTAATATACATTAATGATCTAACACATTCAACTGCACCTCGCAGTTAAATGAAAGGCCTTCCCACGTTGGTTTTTAACACGGACCTGGCTTGCTGCCGACAGAGTCGGCAAAATAATTAAAAAAATCTTCTCCTTCTTCTGAGACACTTTATGGTCATTTTGAAGCGCAATTTTGTTAGGGCTTCAATATTACACTATATCACAGACACTGATAACACGTAGGGCCAAGTATCTCAGATTTAACATTCGTAAACGATGCCTTTAAAGGTTGGTCCCCCGACGTAAATAAGCATATCTGATCGAAAAAATGTCTGTAACAATGGTCTCACCTTGTTTCTTGAGTTCTAGTATAAGCTTATCATTGAATTCTGCACCCTGTCAAGAGTAATAAATAGAGGAAAGAAAGGAAATAATGGATCAAAATTTAATGTACACTGAACAGTTCAAAAGTTCTTTGAACTTTGAATGTGAGGCTTGACTGAAATATATTCATCACCATCAGTGTAAACAAACTTACCTATCCGTAGACAAAAGACTTGATGCATGGCTGATTGTAAACGAAACAAAGTTGAGTCTTTTGTCAATTCTGCTTGTTGCTATGGTAGGCAGCCAGTAAAAACAAATTTGTTTGATTAAATTATGGAAATGCAAGCACTACTTTAAACAAACAGAAATTTGTCATTCCTTGCTCATTTTTCCTGATTGAGGTGTAATATGAAAGGGCAGAAATTCAACTTTCTAGAAATGTGATTTTCTCTTTGAAATTCAGATACCGTCCGCCAAACAACTTTTTGGTTTCCTCTCTTCAAATTGATTTTACTCACTCATGCGTAAAATATGCGTCATATGAGTAGCATCAAATGAAAGAGGAGGATCTAAGCTTTCCAAATATGTGTCATTGATTAATTATAAATGTGACTAAGTTATGATAAAACATCAATAACTCTCGGTTTCATTTTTTCTGGGACGCACTGTATTTCACAATTTGTTCTGCAATGACCTTTATCTGCTCATGCTCAGACTGCAACCGTGAACTGGCTTATTATCCTGAAAAAGAAGTCCACTTCTATCATCATCAACAGTGATCTGTCAGTTTATGACAGGTTCAATGACCCAATCAGAATTCTACATCAAGTGTCTCTCCAGGTACCTCGGTCTTGAGCCATCCGTTTCAGCATTTCATATCCTGTTGCTCCACATTCTGTGATTACATCGTCTAGAAAGCCTTTACGAGGTCTTCCCCTCTTCTTCTTTCCATGTAATCAACCTTCTATGACTCTGAACATCAAGCCATCATCATCATCATCATCATCATCATCATCATCACTTCTATAACTTACTTCAATGAGAGTTACAAAGGCGTAACAAGCCTCCCCCTTGGTCGGGTGTGGGTACGCTACAGCGGCCGCTTCGGCTATCTTACTATGTTCAATAAGAGATGATTCAATCTCTGCGGTGCTCAAGAGATGACCTGATACATTGAACATGTCATCGATACGACCGGTGATCCAGTAATACCCATCCTCATCTCGCTTGCATCCTGAAGGTCAGAAAGAGAATACGTTTCAAAGAAATGCTCCTAAAAGACATCGATTAACAATGTTAAATCCGAGATGCTGTCAATGATGATGATGATGAGAAGGAGGATGACAATACCCATGAAAATATGGAACCCCTCTTATGACATTGATTCTTTTTCAAAGGCATCATTTAACAATGTTAAATCTGAGATACACGACACTGGGTGTTATCAGTGTCTGTGATACGGTGTAATATTGAAGCCCTAAAAAAATTGAGCTTCAAAATGTTCATGAAGTTCCTCAAAAAAGTGAAAATCTTTGAGTGACCGGTTTTACCATCCTCATTTTCCCCAATAGATTGTAGTTTTATAAAAACCCTTAGGAAAAAAAAAAGAGTAAAATTTTAATTTTCAATCATAAATATCTTGATAATCAGACAGGCGATCGGCTTGTAAAAGTCATGTGATTCCTGACTGACCTAAAGGTTTATAAATTATGATTGCAGCATGAGCTAAATCCAGGATTTTGTTTCAGAATCTGAGGCAATGTTACCGAGTCACTGTAATGAAAATGAATGTTACTGTGCCTCCAATATGCCTCCATCTATGACTAATGCATGACCCTCTGATCTTTAACATCTGACCTCATGAACCCAATTTCTATCAAGTTTTTCATTCATTTTTGATAACTGCATTTATAAAATGTTGTCACCCGAGTAGTAGACTCTTTCTATAGTTGTGGAGCGCCAAGTCTGACAGAGATGAGCATTATACAAGAACACACTACTATACAGAGTGGTGAAGTGTGACGTCATCAAAAATCTATTTTGGGAATTTCTCAAATTTTTCTTCATTTTCCGAAAGAGCATCAAAAATAATGTCCAAATGTTGAAAACCAATTGAATATGTTAAATATTGGCTGAGATATGACCATCTGAATGAATAGATTTCCTATAGGAACTCAGTGTTATAGTGCTCTGACTCGTATTGTTATTAGCCAGAGCAATAATAAAACTGAGTTCCCATTTGAAAATGAAGAAAAAATGAAGAAATTCCAAAAATGGATTTTTATTATGTCACAGCTTCAGAAATCTATTACTATCATTATTATACATGAATAACTACTTGAGAGGCATTCTTACCATCTCCGGTCTTGTAGTAACCTGGGAATTGTCTGAAGTACGTACTCTCATAGCGCTCATGATCTCCATACACAGTTCGCATTACACCAGGCCAGGGCTGCTTGAATACCTAGTGTGTGGGGAGTACCACAAGGCAACATTTATTCACCTACATGTTTAAAGCCACATAGTAGTCAGCACCATGTGTATTGCATCTTAATTTGCTGACACCAGATTTGGCTGAATTTCCTATTAATGTGTCTGTGTGTACAAAGGTCCCACCAGAAAATACTCCAACTTACCATAATATCCTGAGAGTGAGGGAAATTTGATATTATGTTGAGAATCCCTAATACGGCGTTAGGCTGGGGCACAGTGCATTATGCAAGACCTGTCCGTCATAAAAGTAAAGTCCACTCTTGGTGACTGACAACACCTGTTATTGGGTAAACACCCAAATGGTGTCAAATTCCCCATAAAAACCCACTACTGAGTCTTTCACAAACTTGTGACTGACAATACAAGCCATGTCACACCATGTTTGTATGTTTACTAACACAAATGGCACTAATACTCTTTGCTATAATTTTCCAAAATAGACAAGTTATCACTAAAATCCAAAGACTATAAATTCTAAAATTTCTATAAAAATAATAATGAAAATAAAAAAAACATTTTTAATAGCACCTTTTCATAAACCAGATACAAAGCTCTTATGAAAACAAAAACATCTCCTTGATAATAGAAAGTATGAATGATTTGAATCAACATCTAATGCTTTTTAAAATAACTTTTACAAAATATTTTCTAAGATGCTAATGGCTGTCCATAACTTTTAAGTCCAACTTAGAGATAAGTCCAACTTGGGATCTTTGTGAAACACCCCCCCCCCATGTTGCTTACCAGATAACCCTCGCATACTCCTTCTAGTTCCTCTCCTTTCTCATTCACCACAGCAGGTGCAATACCGAAGAATGGGAATGTCTGTAATAGAGGAAACAGAAAGAATTATTCTGAGCAGTTTGGCACAAACATTATGTATGTATATATATATATATATACAGTCAAACCGGTCTACAGCGACCGCCCAAGGGAAACACAAAAAGTGGTCTTTGTAGACAGGTTCCTTTAGTACATGTTTCAATGAGAAACCATTTTCAAGGGAAACAAAAAATGTGCGTGTTGTAGACAGGTGGTCTTTGTAGACAGGTGGTCACTAAAGCAGGTTTGACTGTATATATATACAGTAGAATGACTTGTATACAGTAGGCTCACGGTTGCACCCTGTGAGAGAGGGGGGAGGATTGGGGAGTCCTGAAATGGACTGTCTGTAATTTTTTTTTTTAGTGTGTGTGTAGTCCTGAAAAGGACTGTTGGTAATCTTTCTTGAGCTTATAGTTATAACGAGAACTATAGCGGCGGTTGGAGAGGATTGGTAGTAAGAGGGGCTCGACGTTTCAAACAGGTTGACTATCTGTTGTCAGGGGTGGGGAATAGCTGGTGTGTGTGGGCTTAAGTCACTGGTCGCGGATGTAAACGTAGAATGACTTAATTATGTTCTTAACTGTTCTTAATTACAAGCTCAAGCAAGCAATCTTGATTTCAATACTGGGTGCAAGTCTAAATTTCTTCACAAATTGAAATTATTCCCAGGAAGCCTAACATTCAAAGCTAACCTATTGTCCTAATTGTGGACTGATGAATATAAATAAGTCAGAATTAAGAGAGCTGAGGTATTTGTGTCCAGTTCACCGTGACTGTGCCATGGACCAGTGAAGCAGTACATGGCAGGTTCAAATCCTGCTGGTTCCAAGAATCTTTCTGACTTGTTTTTAATTACAAGATTGAGCACGCAATCTTCATTTACTGGGTGCAAGCTAAAATTCTTTTAAAATACCTTTAAAACTCACTTATTGTTAAAAGGCAGTTCAGCTTCATCGTTATCCAAGCCTCGTCTACTACAATATGTTTACATGTGTGTCCTTTATATCCCTCCCCACTCAATGTTGCTGCCCGCTTGAATCTTAGAGCTTATATTTGCAGCCCAACAGCCATACTGGCAGCTTCCACAATCACAATTCCAAAGATTATTATTCCCTTCTTCTTGACAATAATTGATAGTACAGCACGTAAGCCTTGAGTCCACCCTATCCCACAAAAAAAAGGGGAGGGGGGGGGGTAAGAGATGAAAGACACTTACTGCTGAGCCAGGTTTCATAGGAGTTGCACCGGGGAGAGGGGTCAATGTGTGACCTCCCTAAAAACAGAAATAAAAGCAAGCCAAATCATTAGTATACATATGAGCAAGAAGAATGTGAATGTACAAAACATTAAATTTTCTCAAGATCATGTGGTAGAGGTGGTTATTTTACCTGACTGCTAAGAAAGAATCAATGTCATAAGAGGGGTTCCATATTTTCATGGGCATTGTCATCCTCCTTCTCATCAATGACAGCATCACTAAAACCACCAAAATCATCCTCTTCATCTTGTTATTCTTCCAGTCCTCCTTTCTGTCATTATATTTGTCACCATTACCACTATCATATTCACATCTTCAACCATCATCACTGCCCCTGCCACTTCTATCACAATCACTTCCACCACCATCTCCAACACTGCCAACAACACCACCATTGCCACCAACACAACCAGTACCCAAAACACCACCATTGCCACCACCACAACCAGCACCACCCCCAACAACACTACCCACAACACCACCATTGCCGTCGGCACCATTATCACCATTATCACCACCACCATCACCATCACCCCTACCATCATCATAATCATCACCATCACCTTCATCACCATCACTATCAACATTATAATCATCATCATCATTACCATCACCATCACCACCACCACAATCATCATCACCAACATCATCATCACCACCACCATCATCATAATCATCACCACCACCATCATCATAATCATCACCATAATCACCATCACCTTCACCACCACCACCATCACCATCATCATCACTATCACCACCATCATCATCATCACCATCATCATCATCACCATCATCATCACCATCACCATCATCATCCCCATCACCTTCATCACCATCCCAACCACTATCAACATCATAATCATCAACATCAACATCATCATCATCATCATCATCATCATCACCACAACCATCATCATCATCATCATCACCATCACCATCATCATCCCCATCACCTTCATCACCATCCCCACCATCACCATCCCCACCATCACCATCATCATCACCACCATCATCATCATCACCATCACCTTCATCACCATTACTATCAACATTATAATCATCTTCATCATCATCATCATCACCTTCACCCCCACCACTACCATCACTACCATCACCATCATCCCCATCACCACCACCACCCCCACCATCATCACCTCCAGCAACTCCACCACACCACCCGTTCTCCCTACTCACTGTTTCCGTCTGCCAGAATGTATCTGAGATAGAGCATCTTGCATCTCCTATGACGTTGTAATAGAAGAGCCAGGCCTCTGGGTTGATGGGTTCACCTACGGTGGCAAGGACCCGAAGTGATTTACGGCTGTACCTGTAGGACGGATGGACAAACAGACAATCAAGAGGTGTCGTGGTCGACTGGATATGTCACCGGACTGTGGATCACAACGTCCGTGGTTCAAGTCCCGCCACGGCACTAATGTCCTTTGGCAAGACATTGATCTACATTTGCCACTCTCCACCCAGGTGTTAAATGGGTACCCAGTAGGATGCGGAAGTTAATGTGGTTAGATGAGCAAGTGTCTGCTTGTAAAAATGATGCCTGGATGGAATGCTCCCCAGGGAGTGGAGAATTTACATACATTGTATGCGGTTAAGCCTGAATCCTATGACTGGGGTAATAATTTATATCTGTAAAGCGCTTTGAGAGAGCCTGTGGTCCTGAAAAGTGCTATATAAGAATGAACAAGTATTATTATCATAACATCAAGGGCTCCAAACTGTATGTAAGAGTATATTTTATCAAAAATGTTAGGGTCCAGACTAGGATTTTGGGCACCCATGTCCCGGACACACATTAGTGTCAAGCCCTGTCATATATTTTCTGAGGTACATTCATTATGATTTTGAATACATATTGACACTTCAAGAATTACTCTTTCTACTTTCAAAACTGGGCTTAAAACTCACCTGATGCTCAATGCATATTGTTAAATTTCAATGTTCTTTTTGTACAATACATGCAAAACAAACAATCACACTTTGCAACATTGAATGTACCTTGGCACCATGAAGTTGTGTGATCTAATGCAAGTTAACACTTAATATTTCTTTAATCTTAAGTATGATGAATATTAATTTAAATTAGTTGTATGCGCCTCGACCATCTCTAGAGATGGATATGTTGCGCTTTATAAATGTTGTTATTATTATTATTATTATTACAGGTATTTCTAAAGATAACATAAATCCATCCATTCATACACAATTTCCCTAAAAGTACAATAGATATTTTCAACTAGGAAGAAAGATTTCACAGAATAAAGATAAAATTTCTTTTCCAATTATTCTACTTTTTACTTTTTGTATTGATTTTTCTCTCTTTCAAATGTAATACTGTTTTGTATACAATTTTGAATAGTAATTATTATCATGATATATGTATTTTTTCCAAAGGTGCTGTATTTATCTACAATCTGCAATATTTCCTGTCTGACACCTTGCTTTACTTACTTCTTAACAGGTGCTTCACCGTATTTCATGAGCGTTCGTATGAGTGTCGGTGCTATGTACAAGATTGTGACGTTGTATTTATCTACTATTTCCTGTCTGACACTTAGCCTTACTTACTTCTTAACAGGTGCTTCACCGTATTTCATGAGTGTTCGTATGAGTGTTGGTGCTGTGTACAGGATCGAGACGTTGTATTTATCTACAATCTGCCAACATCTCGACTCATCAGGGTACAGCGGTGCTCCTTCAAACTACGATATTAAAACAAGATAAAACAAGCATTTGGGATACAATCATAATGATAATAATGATAGTACTGTAGTAAAAAAAAAAGTAATTTTTAATATAAAACAAATGAGAGGTGTATTGAACTAATCACAGAGTTGCCAATCACTCTTTTCTTGATCAAAACTTAGAACTTGATAACACTCTTATCCTTTGATTCCTTTATTTGTTTGTCTGTCTTCACACTTTTGACTTTTCAAAAAGAATATGAATGAAACTCTGAATTTATTTTTTAAACTATAAAGCCAAAGTGGACTACCCTATCCTTGTATAGCCAATATGCCATCTAATTCATAGAGCAGTCAGTTAAACAAAAATTGAAATGAAATATGAAAGAAATCAATAAGTTGTTTCTTTATCCCTCGAGTAAAAAAAAAAAAGAAGAGAATTTGGGGAGATAAATGGCATCTAACAACATCCCCCCCCCCTTTTGAGTAAGAAAATTGGGGAAAAAGAGGGAAAAATAGAGAAATAAGGGAGAAATCTGGAAATCAGGATAAAATCAGGAAGAAGAAAGAAGAAAAAAAATCAGGAAAAAAATAAATCAGAAAACCAATTTAAATCGCGTAATTATCAGGCCTGTTGCACCTGAACTGAAATGAAGTAAATCAAAAGGTCTGCCTGAAATACATTGATAAATACATTCAAAGGGTGATTCTTTGTAAATCTTATGGGACATTACAACATTGACTGTAAATTCAAATGATTAACAATAATAAAAAAAATCAAATCAGCTCTCACTTAACATAAGAAAAAGGAGACCATGGGGGACCATGGGGGACCAATGGTCACTGATTAGGCATTGTTTTCTATATAGAGGGCGCAAGTAGCTATAAGTCCTGCAGTGGGGATTTAAAGAGAATGTTGATATCCTACCATAACACTGGTAGCTCCGTTGGCCATAGGACCATAGCATACATAGGTATGTCCAGTAATCCAGCCTATATCAGCTGTACACCAGTAGATATCGTCTTTATGATGATCAAATGAATACTTGAATGTTGTAGCAGCATAGAGTAGATAGCCCATCTGAGAGTGGACGACTCCTTTAGGTGTACCGGTTGAACCGCTAAAAGCAATACAAAATGATCAATTATTTCCTAGGTTCTCCTTATCAGGGGGTGATAGTGAGCATTTTTTCCCCTCAACCCCGCCCCCCTTGATAAAAAAAAAAAGAGAGCATTTTTTAGGGGGGGGGGGAATGGCATCTAACAACATTCCTTTCCCTTTTGAGTAAGAAAATTAGGGAAAAAATAGGGAAGAATTGGGAAAAAATAGGGAAGAATAGAGAAAATAAGGGAAAATTCGGGGGAAAAGGGATAAAATCAGGAAGAAGAAGAAGAAGAAAAATCTAGAAAAGAAAATCAATTTAAATCAGGTAATTATCAGGCCTAGCTGTCTTATAATAATACAGTCAAACCTACTTTAGTGACCACCTGTCTACAAAGACCACATTTTATATTTCCCTTGAAAATGGTTTCTCATTGAAACATGCGCTGCAGGAACCTGTCTACAAAGACCACTTTTTGTGTTTCCCTTGGGCGGTCACTACAGACAGGTTTAACTGTACTAATAATGGCTATTTATACAGCGCCGGTATCCGCCAGGCACTAGCGCTCATGGCACTGTACAATCAAATTAGCAAAACGAAAGTAAAAGTACATTATACGAAGCATTTACAATCATAGAGGATAAAATCAACAATCAACACATATGTTAAGTGGAAAACACGTCCCTCGCATAGGATGTTAAATAGAGGCCCCATGTAGAAGAGAGTCACAGCCTTTGCATGTTAAGAACCCATGGCATTATTTTGTATAAGAGTAGGGGGAAACCCCGGTGTGGTGGTCCACCTGCACACCTCCAATCAGTTAAACCGGGAGGAGGGACCTGAGAGTTACAGTGATTCAGTTCGCTTTTCGCCTCCCAGGCTCAGGTGACGCCAAATACTAAATAATAATAATAATTTCAATTTGAGACAACTATCCCCTTCCCCTTCCCCAAATCTAGGACATCTTCCCCCTGGTCACCCTCCAAATTCTCTCCTCCCCCCCCCCCCCCCCACCCCTACCTTAGACGACATGTACGGTTGATATGATCCTACAAAGAGGCAATCCAGATAAGTGTGAACTCACCTTGTGTACAGCATGAATAAAGGATCCTCAGCATCCAACCAGACTGGTTCACACTTGTCACTTGCTCCTTCCATTACATCATGCCACCATACATCACGACCTTCATGGAAATCAGTCTGCCACATGAAACATAGAAACAGGGATTCCACATGTAGGTCAAAGGTCATTGATGTAAAACCACAGATACATGTATTATTACTCTTTATGTATTCAACTGTTTGTTAATCTAGACCTAGTTGATATATTTGTTTTGTGCACATTTATGTATTCTTATATGTTATTCATTGTTATCTCCTGCCAGTGGAGGCCAAATTTCTGTGTTTTTTAATGTGGACAATCAAATCTGAATCTGAATCTGAATCTGAATCTGAATCTGAATTAATAATGATCTACACGATGGTAACATCTATGAATGAATTACAAAGAACAAAAACAATATAAAGTCATCGAAAAATTCCAGCAGGTTTATCAGAAACTCTATTAACAAACAAACTGTGAGTACAGTAATGAGAAATCTAGACTGGGAAACCAAGGTTCTAGTCTTCAACGATTGTGATTTCCAGCAAGACTTGTTACTTCAATTTTATATTTCTTGTTCAAACAACACATCTACAGTGTACGGCATGAACAAATAATTAAAAAACGATTCAACCCAGGATCTTTTGAAATGCAATGCAACTACAGAACTTAAAACCCCACTGTCCTACTTGTAGCTAATTGCTCCCTCTATATAGAAAACTTCCCAAATCGGTGCCTGTTGGTCCCCCTCTTTTTCTTATGTCAGTTGAGAGCTGAGTTAATGAGATAGCCACCTGTCATTGACCTCGCTGTGTGGTCTAATCACTTCTGGCCCAGTAGTAACCACGGTCTTTAAGATTAGTTAAAAGAAATTATAAGATGAATATGTGGATCCTAATCAAATGATTGGTTGAAAGCGTACACGTGACCAGGCATTTATTTCGCCTAACATGTAATTTAGATAATAACTGGTCATTATCCTATTCTAATGACCGATCATTAGTAAAATAATGTTATAAAACATCATTTTATAAAACAATAAAACATAATCTTATAAAACAAATAAAACATAATCTTATAAAACAAATAATACACATCATTTTGTTCAGGTATTAGAAAACTTACCCACACTCGGTACCTTCAGAACAGTCCAAACACCCTTGGCTATCGCCTCGGGCGTGTTAGACTGTCCCAAAGGTACCTTGTGTGGGTAATTCTTACTAATGCCCTCACTGATGTGTAGTATACTAACCGTGAGCGAGTAGCATGGACGTTTGGCTACTGGTGATGATCGATCACCATTGCTTGAAGCCTCAGCTGATCCAAGATGACGTACGACAAACACTTTCTCTACAGTGAAGTCCCTGGAAAGAGAGAGAGAGAGCAACAATGATAACTTTTAGTCACAAGTGTTGACTATAATCCTAAAACAATAGTTGATTTAAACTTAATTCATCAAAACTTATCTTGTAGCACAAGTTTCTCAATTTGGATTCCTAGCTAAATAATCTTACTCCCAACAGACAGAGGGTAAGTATTTTGAATGAGAGTACATCATTTTCTTTCAGAGGTCAAAATTAGGTCCTTACATGTGTGACCACTCAAAAAGGGCTCTTTTTAATGTCTCTGTAAAACATTATGGTTGGGGAATGATTTTTTGTTGTCGGAGAAAGGCATATCTTTTTTCTTGTTAGAGATTGGTAATGTAATACAAAATTAATAACATTTCATTAACATTAATAACACATTTGTTAACTTGATGAAGAATGGTTCCAATATGTTTTTCGATTTTGATATGGAGCAATCTCTACCCACTTTAAAGGGACTTGGTAAAACTGTTCAGATGAGAGAAAATGGTGCAGTTGGGCGACTTATCCACTAGATCACAACACCTCTAACTTTCCAGGGATTTCAAACTTTCTTGGAGGAGGAAAAGCTAAATCGGTTCAGAATCATAGCGACGTCAAACCAATTATATGAATGTCTACGCTTTGAAGCTGACGGGCTTTTATTCTGAGTAGGAGAGTTAGATGTTAGTAGTCTTATCATTATTCAGAACTTGAATCAAGAAGATTATATCGGTTTAAATTTCCATATCTCATATAATTGCAATTTCTTCTAAAATCGGATCGCAGGAGTGGTGTGTAGTGTGCGGTGCGCTAAAGAGTAAATTGAACAAATAATGTTTTGATACTGTACTCTCTACTTCCTGTTTTACATTTCAAATATAATGTTTGTGGGGTAAGTCTAGTGGTTTAAGCACTCGACTTGAAATTCAAAGGTGGTGGTTCGATCCCCGATACGGTACTAATGTCCTTTGGCAAGGCATTAATCTTCATTTGCCACACTCGACCCAGGTGAGGTGAATGGGTACCTGGCAGGAATTAATTCCTTGAAATGCTGGAGCACTATAATGGCAGCTGGGCTAAAGCCGGGTAATAATCAATGCGCCTCGGAATAGAATTTCTAGACAGATGGCGCTATAGAAATGCCTATAAATATTATTATTATTATTATTATAATTAAACAAAAAATTAAGTGCACACTTACTGCTTCTTGCAGAGGGTGACGGCTTCATCTGAAATCTGCTTGAGATTGACCAATTTAGTTCCTCTGTATACACCATCTAGTACAGGGATTCAATAATAATGATAATAATAAGTAATAACAAAAACAAAAGCAGCGCCAACAACAAAACCACCATCAATTGAGAATTCTTAATTTGTATGGAGATGGATTGCGTTAAATGATTCAAAATCTGAGATCTGCTTGAGATTGACCAATTTAGTTCCTCTTTATACACCATCTAGTACCGGGATTCAATAATAATGATAATAATAAGTAATAACAACAAAAAAGCTACACCAACAACAACACCACCATGAATTGTGAATTCTTCATTTGTCTGGATATGGATTGTTTATTTTGTAGGTTCTAAATGAAACACAACTCAAAATAGAAACACAGAGAATAAGGGTGTGGCTGCTGGGATTCAATGCACAATTTATGCATACATGAAATCAACCAAATCACACTATGAACATGACAGACAAAGAAAGCGGACAAAATATACAGTTCCTCATTCTACCCTAAACAATTGCTATGTCAGACAAAGGAACATCCCTTCACTGCCATTATGTAAAAATGTGTAGAACAGGTGAATATGCATGTGACACCTGTTCTACAGATTTTTACATAATAGCAGTGAAGAGATGGTCCTTTGTCTACCATAGCAATTGTTGATGGTAGAATGAAGAACTGTATATTTTGTCCGCTTTCTTTGTCCGTCATGTTCATAGTGTCAACAGGGTATCAAAGAATGTGAACATGTGGTAGTGGCACTATCGAGCTATGGGAAAACATATTAGTAATGGCATCTGAACATACATGTAAGAGCATGAATAATCGATCAGACTTGGGCAGGGACTTGACTTAATAATTAGCATACATCACATGACAGAATGGTTGTACAATGTCTAGACACAACAGATTGCGTTTTAAAATGATTCCCTGTTGACAATAACAATGCATTTTGCAACATTTTACTTTTGACTTGGCCCCATATTCAGGTGCACTGCACATTCCATGATTACATAAACATTATAAATGGGGCATCATTGTAAAGGGGAACAAACAGGCTTTTCAATGATACCAATGTCAAATATGATAATATAGCAACAAGAGAGATATTGATGCTCAAACTTTAATTGCAGACCTTTTTTTGAGGAGTTTAGGTACCGGTACTTATCTGCTAGTTAAAAGTAAACACCAGTTTTGGAAACGCCCACCTCTCATGAAATGAAATGGAAGCTTCTATTACCAATCATGTGAAAGAATTTGTTTTGACTAATACAGAATTATACAAATTTTGCCGAGAAACCACCTACTAATTGATATATTTGGTAAAATATATCTATTTGGACCTGATAGATATAATGCACGTGTTGCGCACGTGTCGCGTAGTCCCATATACATCTTTCTGTGTACAGTGCTTGTAACTTTACCAAGACTGGGCCAAATTTCTTATCATTTTGATGATTCCAGAACCTTGCAGTACACACCAATACTTATATGCTAGATGATCAACCTTTTCTGATCGATTCCACAATGTTTCTTTCACAATGCAATCGCATGACCATAACTGGTCTTTATCTTTAAAATATACAGAAATGTGAAGAGTACTGCGTGTGTATGTATGTCATTTTACTTTCTGCAGTGGCTTTTGAGGCAGTTACAGCATCATGTGTGAATGAGTCTGTACAATGTTGTACAATAGTTCACTCGTCTTACCTGCTGTGATAAGAATAGAGGATTTGGCATCCAACATTCGGCCAGAAAGAGAGTCCGATGAAAACCCTCCAAACTGTGAAAAAGAATACAAAATGTATGACTACTGTACAGAAGTCTCATGAAAAAAAATAATTATAGTTTATTGTTTCAAATGCTATGAGAAAGAGCTTGAAATCATTCAAAGAAACAATAGCAAAATGCAAAATGTTATTCATACTTTCAAGATTTATTCTATAAAGTTCTGAACCATAGTATTCACTTCACAGGCTCTCCATGAGTTATTCTATGCTATGTCACTAATTGATAATGCCTTTTGAACAAGATTGACACCCAGAGTGATTTTTTCCCCTTCTTCTTATGACCTAAACAACACATGGTTATTTTATATTTATGATCTCGTTATCTATCTTTTGCATTTATTTCGTATCTAATTATTATGTCATTTATGTATATTGTTTATAGTCAAGTATTATACCATCAACTAATGAGAGGCTCCTACAGAAACTCAATTTCTTTAGGTAATCCTCAAGCATTAGTTGATGGCTTTTTTTCCTGTTATTATTGTAATTTGTTTTCTTGTGTTCTTTGTTATTGTTATACTCCTTTATGTTCCTGGAAATGAAATAAAAATTTTAAAATTCACTGACTCACCACAATGGAATGCATAGCTCCAATACGAGCACAAGCCAACATGGCTATTACCAGCTCAGGGATCATGGGCATGTAAATGGCTACACGGTCTCCTTTCTTTACACCTGTCATGGAAAAAGAACAATGTTAAAAGTACACTTTATAGGCAAAGCTACATTTTATATATACAATTTTAAATGATACCTTGGAAGTTCATACAAGAAACATATTTGCCGGTGTAAAAGTATGAAAATGAGAATTAAATTTTGTGTTAAAGAGTCTGGGCAGAGCCATAATTTCTCTACGCATTGTTGGACATTTTCTCCTGGCTTTACATGTACATGTATATCAGGTCAATTATTTGCTGAGAGTCAGTTGTCACTTAGTACCAAGTGTCATTTCTCATTATCCATACCCTTTAAAGGCCGTCTGTACTAGTTTGGCTAGGAGGGATTAGACCACCCAGGGTGGTCATTGGCAGGTGGCAATCTGATCAACTCAGCTCTCAATTAACATAAGGAAAAGAGGATCATGGGGGACCAATGTCATAAGTAGCTACAAGTAGTGGGGCTTTAAGATAAAGAGATATATACAATTAATTGTATCCCCCCCCCCAATAAATAAATAAATGAAATAATAATAATAAGTCAATGAATAAATAAATTAATCAAATCAGAATCAAAACCAAATATATTCAACAAAAAATACTAATAATCTCTCCTTCAATTAATCATATTTTGACAATCAATTAAAACTTAAAATTCATTGCAAGATACAACTACTGTAACTGAAGCAAAAATGGATATTATTTCTAGAATAGTCGAATTAATTTCTATATTTATGACAGGGTCCTGGATGTCGACTAACCATGTTGCTTCAGGACGTTAGCAAACTTGCAGACCCCTTTGAGAAGCTGACCGTAGGTGACCTTTGAACTGTCATCTGGATCATTGCCTTCCCTGGAAATAAAAAAATATGAAAAACAAGACTTCTTATAAAGAGTTGATATTAATCAGAACTTATTTGCAATTGATATTGATCGCAACTTATTTGCCATTGATATCGATCGCAACTACAGGTGTAAAAAGAGATCAGACTGCAAACTTGCGATCAATTGGAGGACTTGCGATCGATTTGAATCAATCGTAAGTCTTTTCGAGACAGGGCCCAGATATCATGGGCTACATTTAACACATGCAATGAAGTAAAACAAAAACGAGTCTTTACTCTTTACATATAACATATAAATGCAGTCTGCAACTGGCGTATATTCAAGAAAATATATTCAAACACAAATCAGTAGTCACCTGTTCAAAACTGCTTTTGATTAATTCAATATTTCCACATTTCATATTCTGTATGTATGTCATTCATGTACATGTATATTTCCTTAAAGTGTATATTTCTACACATGTCAACTTATTTGTTTCAATGTACATGTGCATGTTTTATTCTAGTCTTAATTAATTGTTCATGCACTCTGTATTACTGTACATTCACATGTAATTATAAGTTTAATCTTTCAAGTTCACTTTCAGCACCTTGGGCCTAAATATAACATTGAAGCACTATTTGCTCTTTGTGTAAATAACAATTGTTAATGTTTTTGTTAATGTTAGTCTACTATATAAATATATCTTGGTCAATATTTGTGTCTATGTTCCGTTTTAGTCCTCAAAGAGAGAACCGATCAACCAAAAACATGAATCAATATCATGCCACATTCATTATCACCATACAAATAGTCTGATCATATAAAAAAAAAATCTTATCATGATCAATTCATTGTAACACGTGCAGTCAGCATGTACAAAACATGATTTACGAGCATTACACCTGAATTGAGTTCATTAGTTTGAACTTGAGATAAATTCACATGGTAGACTATGTATTTTCGAAACCATAGACAACTAGACTGACAATTGTTAATTTGATTTTTAACTAAAGATTGTTTTTAAAATTCATGTGGCAGGTTTATTAAGCCGATGAATATTTCTTAGTGTTGAATGCTTTAATAAAAAAAAAATCTTCTAAAAAACGGTAAAAACGCAAAGAGCAATACATCTTTTTTTTTAGTCCTGATGTATACACAGCTGCCTGTGTGGTGTGTAACCCATACATCACACAACTATACATGAACTGTACATACGTGTATAACCTCTTTACTGCAGGAGAGATTTGCATACAAAATTGATTTTCCAGCTTATAGACCTGTCTAGTGCCATGCAATTAGATCACTTCATCAGTCATGGGTAGTAGTCAAATATATCAGTATACTGTATACAGTATGTACACTGTACATGTATGTACGCTTAAAGATAAAGACCAGTTATGGTCATGTGATTGCATTGTGAAAAAAACGTTGTGAAATCAATCAGAAAAGGTTGATCATCTAGCATAGATGTACTTCAAGGTTCTGGAATCATCAAAATGATAAGAAATTTGGCCCAGTCTTCATAAAGTTACAAGCACTGTACACAGAAAGATGTATATGGGACTACGCGCATGTGCGCGACACATGCGTTTTTTTCTCTCACACACCAATAGATAAACTAATTTACCAAATATATCAATTAGTAGGCGGTTTCCCCGGCAAAATTGTTATCATCATGTATTATTCAAAACATATTCTTTCACATGATTGGTAAGAAAAGCTTCCATTTCATTTTTTGAAATTGGGGCGTTTCCAATACTGGCCTTTACCTTTTAAAAATGAAACGAGACAGAATTACAAAGCTGTTAAGACATTTCAGCAATAAATAAGTTGTAAATTTTACAAATGTACAGGTACAGGTGCAATGTTCATATTAATGTAATACAGTAAATTTAGACCTTTGAGTTGTCAGATCATTTTTAACCTCTTTAAAAACTAGAAACAAAAAATAAAAAATGAAATAGCAGCGCTACAGACAGTACAGCTGGATTGTTTTTCATAGACTTTGCCATAAAATCAAAAATATTTTGCATTACGGTACAGAGCTTGTGCTTGTACTTGTTGAGAACTTGAGATCGTTTTCATTTTGCCCTGGATTACCATTGGTGACTAATGATGTAGTAATAGGAAGCCATAGGTGATCTAGTCTGGTCATCTTAAGAGTGTAAGATGTTAATAAGCTAAGGGGTCAAGGCCACATACAAAAAGGATGAAAATTGAAGAAAAAAATTCTTTGCAGGTAGACAAATACAGTTTGGTGCTAAATTAATGTGTTAGAGGTAAAATGTCAGAGGTTTAAAAATGTCAGGGGTAAAAATGTCAGAGGTAAAAATTATCTTTTGATCTGAAATTGTACTTTGCTACAGATTAATTTAAAAATAAGTTTTTGAGGGCTTTTCCAATTGTGAGTCACGTTGACATCTTGCTTCCACCTTGAATCAGGCATGCTGTAATTACAGTGTAAAACATTGTAACTGTATGTTTTTGTGTGTTTATTTTCAAGACACATCTTTCTTCTGCCGTACCTGTGAAGACATTCATGGTTATATTAATGTGTTCAAAACTATTCACTCTTTAGGCCAGACTTCCCCCAAATAGAAATCGGTATTTTCACACAAAAGCACTGCACATACATGTACACTGTAATAAAGCTACAACCAGCAGAAGATACCACGACTTTCCGGTGTTAAAGTTTTAAAACATCCTGGTAACATTTACATTTCCATATCCTGGTACCTGGGTACACATTAGTCGATTCAAGTTTCAAGTCAAACTGATATCAAGTTCAAAATTCTTCTTCACGCGTCTAAAACCTGTTGTCTTAAAAAAAATACTTTTCCCCATCCTCCCTCTCTTTTCCTTTTTCATTGTTGTCATCATCATTAAGTAGCCTGTAATTCATCGTCACTAGAGAAAATAACATTACTAGTGCGCTTGCGGGAGGAGTCAGGGAAGGTCAAAATGCTTATTCCACCAGACTGTCTTTGTCTATAAATATAAAACCTTTTGATATTTTCATTTTTTATGTTTTTCATAATACAGTAATACTGAATGATTGATTCAAATTTATTCCATTAAGCCATTTTCCCATTTTCTGGGAATTTTTAACCGTAGTACAGTGTAGTATAATAATAATAACTCACATTATTGTGCACCTTATAAACTTTGGCTTTGTTTCTAGGCGCAGCACATATCATTACCCCAGTCATCGGATTCAGACTTACCCGCAACACAATGTATGCACATTTTCCACTCCCTGGGGAGTATAAGGCAAATTCTTCTACTTCCTCTCTGCTCTTTTTCCCCCTCTGCTTTTCACTACCTACACTACTAACCTGTAGGTACACAGTAGTATACTCAGACATTGCATGTGTCCTGAGCCACCAATTTGAAGAAAATTGATATGCATTATTTCATAATCTTCTAAAACTTATGTCAGACAATTTCATAAAGGATAAACATTTATGATGGCTAGCATTTCATTACAATAGAACAACTTCAGCTCCTACTGCATGCATGTTTCGATGAATGACAATATTCATAATAAACCATTGGCATTTTGTTCCAAAAAATCACATACATTCTTCAAACACGATCATGATCATGACGATATTTGTCTTCTGAGTTAAAACTAAGATTTTAACTCCTGTTCTCTTTATATCTTCTCCATCTTACCAATAGAAAGCAATGCGATCACCAAGACCATTCTCCACATGACGATCAAGAACATTGTAGCAGACATTAGTTGTAGCGCCCTGGAACCACTTCACGAACACCGGCCCGTCATTCACATTGAAATTATACTCCAAGAACTTGCCCTCCGTCGGTGGGGTTTTGAAGTAAAATTGCTCCGCTATTTTACTCCAGAATACCTCAGGTTCGTTGATAGATTGATCGTAGAGTTTCTTGTAATCTTCGATCGACTTAACGTGTGCATTTTTCTGCAGTTCTGGGTTTGGATGGTACAGCCTCGTCGCCTGATCGCCACTTGCGCTCGCCATGATTGCATGCAGTGTATGAATGAAAATTAATGTGCAAACAATGGAATTGTACCTAGTTGTACCGTGCACGCCGAGCTAGCTAGCTAGTAGTGAGAGCGCGGGCGCGCTGCTGCTGGTGCGATCGCAAGATCCCCAGGCCAGCCGCACGGTTGTGGCCAATATCGTACGATAGCATGGAGCTAGCTGTGTGTACGTGCGTACAGCGTCAGTACTGGCAGCCTTGATTAAAAAATTTCAATTTGCACCCCCCCCCCCCAAAAAAGGTAAAAATCACGTGATTTTACATGATTTTTTTTTCTCAAGGGGGGGGGGGGTAGTGAGCACATTTTTTTTTTATCCTCAAAAAAATTTCAATTTGCACCCCCCCCCCAAAAAAAAAGGTAAAAATCACGTGATTTTACATGATTTTTTTTTCTCAAGGGGGGGGGGGGGGGGCCCGGGGCCCCCGGGCCCCCACCCCTGGATCCGCCACTGTTCCAGATGAAGAAATAAAGAAGATTAAAAATATTCAATTTTTGGCAAAAATAATGAGCTAACCACTTGCCATTTTTGTCAAAAAGTGACGATTTTCGAATTTCCCCCGAATTTGCCTTAACGCCCTTTTTGGGATCAAACGGGGTTCCATACGATTCTGAGACACTTTGGGACATTCCAGATGAGGAAATAAAGAAGATTAAAAAAATTCAATTTTTGGCAAAAATAATGATCTAACCACTTGCCATTTTTCTCAAAAAGTGACGATTTTCGAATTTCCCCCAAATTTGCCTTAACATCCCTTTTGGGATCAAATGGAGATTAATACAATTCTCAGACACTTTGGGACATTCCAGATGAGGAAATAAAGAAGATTGAAAATATTCATTTTTTGGCAAAAATGATGAGCTAAGCCCTTGCCATTTTTGTCAAAAAGTGACGATTTTCGAATTTACCCCAAATTTGCATTAACACCCTTTTTGGGATCAAACGGGGTTCCATACGATTCTTAGACACTTTGGGACATTCACGATGAAGAAACAAAGAAGATTGAAAATATTCATTTTTTGGCAAAAATGATGAGCTAACCCCTTGCCATTTTTCTCAAAAAGTGACGATTTTCGAATTTCCCCCAAAATTGCCTTAACAACCTTTAAGGGATCAAACGGGGATCCATACAATTCTGAGACACTTTGGGACATTCCAGATGAGGAAACAAAGAAGATTGAAAATATTCATTTTTTGGCAAAAATGATGAGCTAACCCTTTGCCATTTTTGTCAAAAAGTGACGATTTTTCGAATTTACCCCCAAATTTGCCTTTACACCCTTTTTGGGATCAAACGGGGTTGCATACGATTCTGAGACACTTTGGGACATTCACGATGAGGAAATAAAGAACATTTGAAATATTCATTTTTTGGCAAAAATGATGAGCTAACCCCTTGCCATTTTTGTCAAAAAGTGACGATTTTCGAATTTCCCCCAAATTTGCCTTAACGCCCTTTTTAGGATCAAACGGAGATCAATACAATTCTGAGACACTTTGGGACATTCCAGATGAGGAAATAAAGAAGATTGAAAATATTAATTTTTTGGCAAAAATGATGCCATTTTTGTCAAAAAGTGACGATTTTCGAATTTCCCCCATATTTGCCATAACATCCCTTTTGGGATCAAACGGGGTTCCATACAATTCTGAGACATTTTGGGACATTCCAGATGAGGAAACAAAGAAGATTGAAAATATTCGTTTTTTGGCAAAAATGATGATTCATTTTTTGGCAAAAATGATGAGCTAACGTACCCCTTGCCATTTTTCTCAAAAAGTGACGATTTTCAAATTTCCCCCAAATTTGCCTTAACGCCCTTTTTTTTTAACAAATGGAGATCCATACAATTCTGAGACACTTTGGGACATTCCAGATGAGGAAACAAAGAAGATTTAAAATATTCTTTTTTTGGCAAAAATGATGAGCCATTTTTTTCAAAAAGTGACGATTTTCGAATTTACCCCAAATTTGCCTGAACACCCTTTTTGGGATCAAACGGGGTTCCAAACGATTCTTAGACACTTTGGGACATTTACGATGAAGAAATTAAGAAGATTGAAAATATTCATTTTTTGGCAAAAATGATGAGCTAACCCCTTGCCATTTTTCTCAAAAAGTGACGATTTTCGAATTTCCCCCAAAATTGCCTTAACAACCTTTTAGGGATCAAACGGGGATCCATACAATTCTGAGACACTTTGGGACATTCCAGATGAGGAAACAAAGAAGATTGAAAATATTCATTTTTTGGCAAAAATGATGAGCTAACCCCTTGCCATTTTTGTCAAAAAGTGACGATTTTTCGAATTTACCCCAAATTTGCCTTTACACCCTTTTTGGGATCAAACGGGGTTGCATACGATTCTGAGACACTTTGGGACATTCACGATGAGGAAATAAAGAAGATTTGAAATATTCATTTTTTGGCAAAAATGATGCCATTTTTGTCAAAAAGTGACGATTTTCGAATTTCCCCCATATTTGCCTTAACATCCCTTTTGGGATCAAATGTAGATCAATACGATTCTGAGACACTTTGGGACATTCCAGATGAGGAAATAAAGAAGATTGAAAATATTCATTTTTTTGCAAAAATGATTAGCTAAGCCCTTGCCATTTTTGTCAAAAAGTGACGATTTTCGAATTTACCCCAAATTGCCTGTACACCCTTTTTGGGATCAAACGTGGTTCCATACGATTCTGAGACACTTTGGGACATTCACGATGAGGAAACAAAGAAGATTTGAAATATTTATTTTTTGGCAAAAATGATGTCATTTTTGTCAAAAAGTGACGATTTTGGAATTTCCCCCATATTTGCCTTAACATCCCTTTTGGGATCAAACGGGGATCCATACAATTCTGAGACACTTTGGGACATTCCAGATGAGGAAACAAAGAAGATTGAAAATATTTATTTTTTGGCAAAAATGATGAGCTAACCCTTTGCCATTTTTGTCAAAAAGTGACGATTTTTCGAATTTACCCCCAAATTTGCCTTTACACCCTTTTTGGGATCAAACGGGGTTGCATACGATTCTGAGACACTTTGGGACATTCCAGATGAGGAAACAAAGAAGATTGAAAATATTCATTTTTTGGCAAAAATGATGAGCTAACCCTTTGCCATTTTTGTCAAAAAGTGACGATTTTTCGAATTTACCCCCAAATTTGCCTTTACACCCTTTTTGGGATCAAACGAGGTTGCATACGATTCTGAGACACTTTGGGACATTCACGATGAGGAAATAAAGAAGATTTGAAATATTCATTTTTTGGCAAAAATGATGAGCTAACCCTTTGCCATTTTTGTCAAAAAGTGACGATTTTCGAATTTCCCCCAAATTTGCCTTAACGCCCTTTTTAGGATCAAACGGAGATCAATACAATTCTGAGACACTTTGGGACATTCCAGATGAGGAAATAAAGAAGATTGAAAATATTCATTTTTTGGCAAAAATGATGCCATTTTTGTCAAAAAGTGACGATTTTCGAATTTCCCCCATATTTGCCTTAACATCCCTTTTGGGATCAAACGGGGTTCCATACAATTCTGAGACATTTTGGGACATTCCAGATGAGGAAACAAAGAAGATTGAAAATATTCGTTTTTTGGCAAAAATGATGATTCATTTTTTGGAAAAATGATGAGCTAACGTACCCCTTGCCATTTTTCTCAAAAAGTGACGATTTTCGAATTTCCCCCAAATTTGCCTTAACGCCCTTTTTTTGGATCAAATGGAGATCCATACAATTCTGAGACACTTTGGGACATTCCAGATGAGGAAACAAAGAAGATTGAAAATATTCATTTTTTGGCAAAAATGATGAGCTAACCCCTTGCCATTTTTTTCAAAAAGTGACGATTTTCGAATTTACCCCAAATTTGCCTGAACACCCTTTTTGGGATCAAACGGGGTTCCATATGATTCTGAGACACTTTGGGACATTCACGATGAGGAAACAAAGAAGAATGAAAATATTCATTTTTTGGCAAAAATGATGAGCTAACCCCTTGCCATTTTTGTCAAAAAGTGACGATTTTCGAATTTACCCCAAATTTGCCTGAACACCCTTTTTGGGATCAAACGGGGTTCCAAACGATTCTTAGACACTTTGGGACATTTACGATGAGGAAACAAAGAAGATTGAAAATATTCATTTTTTGGCAAAAATGATGAGCTAACCCCTTGCCATTTTTCTCAAAAAGTGACGATTTTCGAATTTCCCCCAAAATTGCCTTAACAACCTTTTAGGGATCAAACGGGGATCCATACAATTCTGAGACACTTTGGGACATTCCAGATGAGGAAACAAAGAAGATTGAAAATATTCATTTTTTGGCAAAAATGATGAGCTAACCCCTTGCCATTTTTGTCAAAAAGTGACGATTTTTCGAATTTACCCCAAATTTGCCTTTACACCCTTTTTGGGATCAAACGGGGTTGCATACGATTCTGAGACACTTTGGGACATTCACGATGAGGAAATAAAGAAGATTTGAAATATTCATTTTTTGGCAAAAATGATGCCATTTTTGTCAAACAGTGACGATTTTCGAATTTCCCCCATATTTGCCTTAACATCCCTTTTTGGATCGAACGGGGTTGCATACGATTCTGATACACTTTGGGACATTTACGATGAGGAAATAAAGAAGATTTGAAATATTCATTTTTTGGCAAAAATGATGCCATTTTTGTCAAACAGTGACGATTTTTCGAATTTCCCCAAAATTGCCTTAACAACCTTTTAGGGATCAAACGGGGATCCATACAATTCTGAGACACTTTGGGACAATCACGATGAAGAAATCAAGAAGATAGATAATATTCATTTTTTGGCAAAAATGATGAGCTAACCCCTTGCCATTTTTCTCAAAAAGTGACGATTTTCGAATTTCCCCCAAATTTGCCTTAACAACCTTTTAGGGATCAAACGGGGATCCATACAATTCTGAGACACTTTGGGACATTCACGATGAGGAAATAAAGAAGATTGAAAATATTCATTTTTTGGCAAAAATGATGCCATTTTTGTCAAAAAGTGACGA